TATAAAATAAGTCATCTTGATGCCAAACCTTTACGGTTTGTATTAATAATAAACTAAATGCAATTTACGCTTCGCGCAATGACCCCTCATAAATCAATTATGGCTTTCAATTTTTTTTTAAAGATGAGATAAATCATAGCTATGAGAAAGTCTTATCTTAAAGTAATTTAGTAATAGAGCAGATTGAAAATAAAAGATTAAAATATACAATACGAACACGTCCGTATACATATCAAGGTTCGAGAAAGATGGTATGATCCTTGTCAGATTTTCCAAGAGTAGTGGGAGGGGGGGCGGTAAGGGGTCACAAAAAATTACGTGGATTGTCTATGCAATGTGTTAAAGTAGAAGAAAACGACGGGTTCTTACTTTATTTTGTAAGGGGAAGTGAGGGGGAAGGGGGGGTGAATAAGGGTCTGTGGGATTTGTGTGGAAAGCCCTACGGAGACAACCTTATAATGTACGACGATTTATATATATATAACAACTTTTATGTACACAATTTCAAAAAGTATATGAAAGCGTACGTGATTGATGCTAGGGTGACGATAGAGATGTTATCAGCTTAGAAGACAATTTTGGAATTATCAAAAGATTTGATGAAAGTGAGCAGTCTCGTACTGGCCAGCTTGGTAACACTCCATGCCATGGCTGTACTTCGTACTTTACTTACTTTTATTATGATTTTGTTAATCATTTACTTAATACTATAATACTTTGAAACTGTCCCTACTTACCGGACATCTCCATTTCAATGATAATTGCATACCATTTGATACATCGCAGTAAGTTTGGGTTCTTGTAGTTGTTGTTTCATAAAAATATGTCTAGATTAGTAAATTGTCTGTCATTAAGCTTAAGTAAAAGTAAACCTTTGTACTTAGATAGCCAAGCATCCAGTGACTTCTTTTTGACTTAAAGAAGGTGCTATTTCTCAATGTTTTATACAGTGAACACCAGTGGCATGTTGTGTACATAAGAACGTATAAGAAGCAGGTATTGTTTAATTTTCTTTTTTTATGAACATAATGCATGAGCTTATGCTATTGCACATCAGGAGACAAAAGCATAAGGCATTATCAGGAGATGAGGCAAACTTAGCTAAGATCTTCATTTCCAGCTTGCTGACCAACAGAATTTTTTGCAATCCTGATTGTATAAAAAAAAAGATAGCTCATCGTGTGCTATTTTTATACCATATCCATGTCATAGTTATATTCAATTGAAGTAAACATTATTTTAAACATAGTGATACTACAAAAATACATTATAATTGACTTGTCAACTTAAATGACAGATATCATTGTAAAACGTCATCAAACAATTCATAAAATAAAGAATCTCCTTATTAAAGCCTTGAAATGAGTTCTGAGATGGATTGTGCTTCTAATATTTTGCTTTGAGAATATTAATTTTATAGTTCGAGCCATAAGTTGCCTTTACACTTTTATCAGCTTTAGAGATACAAAAAGCCAAGTACTTTATTCCAACAAAGCTGTTTTGGCACTAGTTACGTTTATAAAAACGTCCTGAGAAATATAAGAATTCATAGAAGATCCAAAAATAAAAATCTTTATTACCTTTTTCAGATAAATATAGTTAAAAATAACTTTACATTTTTTTACTTATGATATTTACTTTGGCTATAATATTTTGCCTTTGAAACGGCGTAATGCGATTGCAAATTCAATGCCTTGATCGCAGTCTCTGCAAATCAGGTAGAGATGTCAGACCATTTTAGTCTGAAATGGCTATTATTATTATTTTTAAAAGCGAAACTGACAATCACAATGTTAAACAATACTTCTAATATATTTGTAGTATATGTATACGTACACAAACTCATGCGATTCTTTGTAACTGTTTACTGTGTTACGTGGGAAAACCGAAAGGTAAGGAGGTGCTTCGCGAGAATGATCAAAACCTTGGAACCTTAAAGACTTTTATTTAAGATAATTATTTATAAGGCAAAGACGCGTGTGTGTTCCCGATTAATTGCCCGATCTCCCCGAGTGTTCTCTTCGTACTCCTCGTCTGTCCGAGTCTTCTCTTCGTTCTCCCTGTCTGTCTGAGTCTTCTCTTCGTTCTGCCAATTTTGAAGCTTGCCAGGCCTTATATTACCTCGTTCCCCTCCCGACGGTACCCTCTTCATAAGGTAGCTTCGTGGTCACCAGGGGGCGTTAGTGTGATATGCCTAGCATATCGTACGTAACAACTGCAATATTCGCTCTTTAAAACAAGACATCTATAATGAACAATTAAAATATTGTAATGTTCCTTGTTCGAAGCTTGATAATTGTTCAAATTTATGGCTTGAATTACTTGTCTGTTAAAACTACACATTTTAAAATATTAAGTTACCGAGAAATTGTTAGACAGTGTGTCTTACAGTTGCATGTATTTTACAAGCATTTCTAAAAATTCAGTATTCTCGATTTGGCTTCCAAAAGTAATACATTAAGAAATTTTAGTTACTTATAGCCAACAGTCCTTATTTTATTTGTACAGACCATTAATAAAGCATTAAATACAAAAAAAGCCGTTTGCATGACCAGATACCATTTCAGAAAAAAATAACATTGTTTTCATAATAAAAAGTGATTACAAGGCATACATATTTAAGAAAAACGTTGGTAAATTTTTTTTTAAGGTTCTATGCATCCACACCACTTCTATAACATTATTATTTATAATACCCGCAATTATTTATTTCACCACAATTTGATTATAGCTAACAAGTACTTTATACTGTAGACTGTAAAGTCCATTGTTGATTTTAATTACTTATGACACAGGGCTAGATGAGAAATACTCAGAATTACAACGTTGTTGTGTAACAAGACTTAAAATAAAAAAAAAATACTAATCACGAAAATGCGTCACTTGTTAAAGTACTTAATAATTATTGACAAAATTCTGTTAAAAAAAAGTAAATTGTACTAAAGGAGAATAAAAAAAAAAAAAATTAGCAAAAAGCTTACGCATGATGATTCGTACCTTTTTCGGTAGGGTTAAGTTTGTCAGAGGATTGGGCATACTTAATAATTAATAGCAAGGTTTATTGGTACAGTAAGGAGGACATGAGTCTTTGAGTATTGTTCATGAGGTGAGAGATTAAACCTTAATATTAGACACTGTGATAGAACTGTATTAAATTATAAATAGTTAATTATACTTCAAACTTGAATCACAATTACTTTTTTGACATCAGATAAAGTTATTAGTACATCATACATATAATTCCTGAATAAGATACATTATTCTTAAATATCTATAACAGAACTAAGGATTTTAGTAAACGTACCTCCTGCAACTATAAGTATTTAATTTGTTATTTCACCTTGGTTAGCGATTTAAAACTTTAGCAGCAGCCATTTATAATTTTTTTTTATAATACGAGTAAATTTAAAATTTTCTATATTTCTACTAAAGTTAAGATTTTGTTATTAGAAAGTACCTCAACAAGTTAGTTTAAATAAAAATTCATATATGAGTGGCGTTAGCTCAGTGGTAAGCGTACTTGTAACTTATGCAACACTGTTCTACGAGCCATGGGTTCGATGACCGGTGAATGCAGTTTTTTTTAAAACTGTTTTTATCAGGAAAGGTTCCTTTGAAATCCGAGCTATTCCAGGGCGAATTTCTCCGTTGAAATTTCCTTCAGAGGAATTTCAGGGTTTCTTCCTTGCCCTACAGATCTTCGGGCCTGGTTCAATGCGAAACAGTGTTAGGGCTAAAGGTAGGGATTAGCGGATCTGATGCGCCGGGCAGGGATCACTGGCCTTACTGGTGAGGAGTGGTTCCTAAAAGATGTGTCTTCTCTGGGGATGCTAATAAGCCTGAATTTAATGATTTGGCAGAGAGCGCCAGCTTAAATGGCGAGGAGTGGACGTCCTAAAGGATGGAGTCCTTTCTGGGGAAAAGCTACACAGTAGCAAGTGGATCCAATGCACCATTGGTGCCGAGAGTGTCAGCTTATTTGGCAAGATGTATCACACGAGATACTCACACTGTTTAAATGGATTAGGTATAATATCAGTAAAAAGGGTTGGAAATGGGTGTGGCAATACACCCCTACATATGGGTGGTTATTGGGTACCCTTGACAACTAGGCTAGTACACTGTCACGGTAATCCGGTAAAAAAAAAAAAAACCTTTTTTATGTGGAATACTCTATTGAGCAGTTTGGTGAATTTCATTTACTAAAAAATTAATTGTTAAAAGATAACTTGATTTATCATTCGTTAAGTACTTGACGACGAAATTCTGGTAAACGTGTGCAAAATTTATTCTTCGCTGATAGTAATCACTCTTTTAGCAGTGCCTTCACATCATCTTCTATTGTTTTAGTTTCTTCTGCAATAGTTCTCTTGACTTTTGGTGTAGCTTCAAATATTATTTCTCTCTTAACAGTTTTTAATTTTTTAAGCTATTGAATTCTCTATATAAGTGGTCGATATCGTAACAACTACTTTACCTTTCCTTAAACTTTTATTTGCTGGAACTATTTTAGTGTCTGATGCTATATTTAATCCTTAATCCAAAACATCAGGAAAAATAATTGCCAACGTTGCTGATCTGGCTTTAATTAGCTTGAAAATTATCGATGATTGTAGTGGTATAGATTGATCTTTAGTTATACTTTGAGTATCATTTACTTGTGACAACAAAATCCTTGTAAAAAAACCAAGCGTAAAGGGTCTCGGGATTCCTAACAGAAGCGAAGCTGCCTTACACATGTGGCAGCGAAACATCATCCAACATTAATAATACTAATAATGTTTGTAGAGACACACGTTCATATACGTGCTAGAGCATATGCAAGTGTCTACACATCCACGGATACATTCACTCACACATATACATATTTCTGGGACAAATATCTTATAATTAATTATCAAATATGTAAGTATACATTGTTTGCTAAAAAAAATTAACTAAGTAAAAGCCTATAATGCAAATTACATAATCTTCTAAGATAACTAAATTTTTGTTATTAGGGATGCTACAAAAACAGAGACGGTGCCTCAGCCTACAGATGATGTATGCCCGTGGGAAACAGCTCAAACAGCAGTTACTCCTAGACAAAAATCATTAACTAGAGCTAGAATACATAAGTCACATCAGCTTTTTTCTGTGCATCCTAAATCAGCAGCCTCAACTTTGTCATTAGTTAAAGTGTCTTGTCAAGACTCCGAGAAAGAGTTCAACTTGTTTTCTTCGTCTTCAGACGTTAGTGTAGGTGTGAAAGAGGTCTCAAATCAGCTCCATGAATGTAATAGTATCTTTGCAGCTGCTAATACCTCTTATCATTCAAACTATACACATCACCGTTATTTTCATGATTATCATGAGCAGCAATATTCAGGAGCACTTTCACTCAATCCAGATCAAACGCAGACTAATTTTTCCATTGGCTTAGCACAGAAAATAAGCTCCAAAAATCAATTGCCAGAAACTTCAAGAGCAAGTATTTCATCCTGTTATTTTTCTTCATCTCATAATTCTTTGGACTCGTCATACAATCAGAGACAACAGTTACGTCATCAAGCAGCTAGCATTACTGAAGTATTAATAACAAGCCCTGTAAATACTATACCTCACAAGATATTAGAGGATTCTCTGAAGTTGGAAAAAATATCTCTGTAAGTATGTGCTGCTGTAAGGTTTTTATATTTTTACTATTTACATAGATATTGTCAGACGAGTCAGACTTCCAGATAAATCAATCATATTTTTAGTTTTTATAAGTATTTTTTCAGACTCAATGATGGTAAAGTTAGAAGAATTTCTAAAGCTTAGAATAAGAGACTCATACAAACTGTATCATGATTTATCTGTTTATTTTACTTTGGATTAAACGTAACAAATATTCCAGAACTATTTCCGAAAATAGTATCTGTGCAGTTGGGGTAAGCAGGTAAAAAGTTGTAAGTTATAATAACGGCATTATTTCATTCCCCACGTATACAATTACGTCCTAAATCGATATACCTTCGTTTTCATTACTTTTCATAGCCACCTTGTACAAGAATTCTTAGAGTATTAATTTCAAATCTAAGTTTCTAACAGTTTACTACTATTAATTTATTTGAACTTTACACAATAAAGTTTTTTTGTGCTAATTTTAAACATCTTCATGCAGTTCTTAATATTAGGACCACTTCATTAATACTTGTAAGTCAATTTATTACGTCCAAAATGATACGTATACCATCTTCTTTTTTGATTAAATGAATCTTTATCTATAGTTTTAAGGTTCTAAGAACAATAAAATCTTCCCGTAACAAAAATGCATTATTTAGATTTACATGATATCTACCTGTACCGTTAATTTCGGAAAAAAACTTTCTATAATACTTTTAAGTGTTAATCACAGTTTCCTAACATAAAAAATATTCAAATTTTATCGAAATCTATGTTTATAAATGTATGGAAAAATTCAATCTCAAATTCGTAATTAATAGTCCTAATTACATTTTTATAACAAGTTTAGTGCAAATCAGTGGTTTTTTAAAGGGTTTTTTAGCCATCTATAGTCGTAAATCTGTCATTTTAAAAAGGCAATTACCCCATTAGATTTGCAGTATGTAACCCAAAAAATCACTGCATACCAAATTTCGTAAAAACAGGTTAATGTATACAGCGGATTATGTATTCGAATGCTTAAAAAATATATATATTTATATCCACATACATATAAGACTATTAATTAAGGTGAGGCTCACCAAGATTTTTCCCCACAGCTCCTCCATGCACTCACACGGCCCCAAAGACCCACCTAAGTATACAAGTAAAATTTGCTTGTTTTTTTTTTTTTTTTTTATTTCAGTAAACTCAGTTTTCCAATGAGACACTCAAAGCCCCCCACAGACTCTTTACACTGCCCCTATGGTCATTCAACGCAAGTTTCTTACATCCTTCACACCACCCACACCCCCGACAAGAATAGTACATGTCAATAAGCTCTCGCACTATTTAAAAAAATAATCTTTTTAGTGTGTTATTTTTTATGAATTATTACTACCATGCGATATTTGTGACTTTCATATTTCCGATGAGGCACACAGATTAACTGTAAAGTTATAAATAATGTTAAAAAATTTTTCAAATTAACTATTTAAATAAGTTTTTAACGTATTGTTAACTGTAATTTTCTTAACTTGTCAACTCTTTATAAAGTATCATAACCACACGATATCCATCATTTTCAGGCCATGCACTAGGCAGACAGATTAACTGTCTAGTTATAAATGATGTAACAAAAGATTTTTATTTAAATAATTACACAGTTTGAATGATTGCACTTTTTAAAATTATAATCTTATAATGATGACGAAATTCATAAAAATAAAGCTTATATGATACACGTTACAACTTTATGTAATGTAAAAATTTTTAAATGCTAATAAAATAATAATAATTGTGTTAGTCAATGCTAGTAGTCCTACAAACGTCTCAATATACAATCTAGGAAGTGTAAGATTTATTGAAAAGACAAGTTAATGTACATAGAAATGTAAGTATATCATTAAACTATTAGTACGTTAACATTTTTAAGGAACGCCTTTTAAAAAAATTTATTAATGAAGTTACTATTGGTCATTAAAATATAAAAACACAATGAAGAAGAAAGTTAATTTTAATGTGAATCATAGGTTATCATTATAACACTGAAACATATTTTCAGAAAAATCAAGTGAACATTTAATAATAAAAATGTATATAATAAAGGAAAATAAAAAATATTTTTGTACTAAAATTTGTGATTAAAACAGTTTCGAGCTAAAAGTTACAATTTAATTATGTGGGGTTGGCGTGCAAAATGGGTAAGGGGCAAATCACTTCTATAATACAGACACACAAAAACGGACGTATATATTCCTATACCATAGAGTAATTTTTGAGTGTTATTCCACATGACCCCCCATTTCCATTTCCACCCTTATGCCCCCCTTTGAATAAAATAATATTCTAACAGTTTTTACGCAATTTTTGTTGGGTTCTATTTTAGGTTGACACCCTCCACCTCTCCTTAACACCACTCCTCCGCTTAATTTTAAAGAGCCACCCCTCAGCCCATCATCCACCCCCTTAGCTCTCTCTAAATAAGGTAAGATTTGATCAGTTTTAACTATATTTTTGGGGTTAAACTTTCGCTTAGCTCCTTCTCCACCCCCCTACGCTCCCCTTATGATTTTATTACTCAATAACCCGATAACCAAATAAGCCTTCCTTGTAACTGAAAAAAACTCTCTTAAGCCTTTTATCAGCAGCATCTTAAATGAAGTGAAATTATATCAGTAATCAAGTCATTTTTAGTTTAATTACATTTTGCACTCTAACTTTTATTTCTCCTCACACTTTTTAAAAAAACCTCTGAGCCCTGTCACAATTTTTTAACATCCACTTTTTACCAGTCCTTTGCTTTATGTTATTTTTTCTTATACGCGTGTAATAATTAGCTAAGCTGTATAATTTGTTAGCACTTTTTCATACTGTTCGTTTTAATTTAATTTTGATTGGGCTGATTTTTTTTTAGTCCCTTTTTGCCACCCCCGCCTCATATTCTTATAACCTTATATTCTTATAACCAGATCATCGAACACAATTTTAAAGAACTCCCTATAGTCGCCCTTTAGTTGCATCTCTAAATAAGGTAAAATTATATCAGTATTCATGTCATTTTTAGTTATATGACTATTTTTACCTTTTATCTCAACTCTCCTTTCAGTTTTAAAAAAGCCCCTTATTTCTAGCAAATAATAACATATTTGGACTGCCGTTAAGGTAGTGCTATGGTGCGTTGATTTTTTTTTCGTAAATTTTCTAAAAACTTTTTATTCGCATTATACGTATAAGAATATGACATTATATTTTTATACTTATTTAATAACAACGTATAATTTTATAAGATATTTAAACTATGAACCAAGCCTGTAACCCTATTAACCCCGAAAATATGAAAATTATGTTTATTGAAATATGTCAATTAATGTGAATTGTCACGAATCTATAGTCAAATAATAACTTTATTGATTTAATACATTTATTTATTAGTTTAATTAACTGTACAAAAATAGTACGTACAATTGTTAACATGTAATAATGTAAAGTGATTAAATTTTCTTTATCTACTTTAGATAACGTCAAAAATTTCTTTTTAAACAATACTTTCTACTTCTAAATTTTTATCACATAATATTGTAATTGAAACTCCATTTTTATTTTTGCATCTTGATAAGGTGACATAATTCACTACGTAAAAACTGTAGTTTTTTTACGTTTAACCTGATATTATTAAAACTTTGATCTCGAAATCAATTGATGGTCATTAAAAACGCTAGGACTAAAGGAAATAGTTTGCTGTATAATGTTAGAGGCAATGATGACAAATTTCCTGAATTAAGAGTTATTTTCAGTATAAGAACTTTCTTTCCAATTTTTTCTTCAGTTACAGTTTTTGCTTTAATATTGTATGTAAGTAATTTTTAAATTTGTTATATTATTGTACCGTTGCGTAAGCCATTAACTATAATTAATATTAATTATTATTACGTAGTAACATAACAATTTCTACAATTTTGAAAGAAAGCTCATGCAGTGGTAAGCTCCCACGAGTTTTGTTTAGAACTTCAATTAGCAAATTTATATAAATATGGTCATCAGATTTATCAACACCCTTGTACGTGTCATAATCGATGCTATAATATTTTTTTTTGTTTTTCCTTTTACGTAATTTAAAATTTTATTATCAGAAGCGTAAGTATATTTTTTATGAGAAGTAAGTATAATGCTATTCATTAAAAAGCTATTATCTTTACCAAAAATATCGGAACAAATATTAGTTTTTTTTTATTTATTTAGTACTTCAAACAACTTTTTCTTTTTAAATATCAAATAATAATTTTAGATATGTTTTGTCGGTTAAACGAATATTAGTATTCAGTTTCAGAATACGAAGCAATGACCTACGATACACTGATTTAATACTTTCTTGTATGATCGTGCTTCTATTACTATTTTCTTAAACTGGAAGAATCTGCCGGAAATCGCCTTTGAAAACAATTAGTTTATGGCCAAAATAGATATTTACTATACCTTAATCACGTAATGTTCTTTCAACTATTTTTAAAGCTTTTTTCTGGATGATAGAAGCCTTGTTCAAAATATTTTGATTTTTCTCTTCAAATTTTTTTTTAGACTTTAATTTCAGGAATCAATTTTCTACATTGTTAAAGTATAATTGTAAACAAAATGTTTAATGACTGGTCATTTCTTTTAGAAGTAATATTGATGCTATACTAGTTTATATTCTAAATAAAACTTTTTTTCTACGGAAAATGAGATAATCAACTTACGTTTTATACAAAAATATTTTTCCTAAACCTCCTGGGCCATCAATAAAAAAAATTTTATCTGTTTGTTGACATACAATTTCGAAAATCGTGACTTACGATAAGAGAGATTTATTATCACCAGAGGGTATAACGAACATTTTCTTATTCTTTTAACTTCCTTAAACATTTTTATTCGTACCTAATAAGGGGCTCGATGACAATTTTGTATTAAGATGTTAAAGTTTAGTGAAAAAAACCTATTTGACCTTTTATCCAAAAACACTTCATAGTTATTAAAATCATTAAAAA